TTAATAAAAATAAAATAAAAATTCTAAGTGATGAGAAAGCGTTATGTCATAATTTGTCAGTGTGTTTTCTTTCCTAATAGTACACAAAATGTTAGGGCCTCTTACAACCTTAAGACATCTTAGGTTGGATTCTACCCATGTCACAGGTGAGAAAACTAGGGATAAAAGAGGGCATGGGTTAAATAAGGCGGCAGCGGGTGGAGAGGGGGTCCTCTCTGATAACAGATCCTGTGCTCTGTCTAATACCCAAAGCTGACTGGTACATGGACACTGATTTCCCATCTCCCTCCACAGTCTCACCCCCAGGCAAAGTCTGCCATCCCTAAGGGGACCCGGGAGGCAGCAAGCTTCCCTGTTGTTCAAAATTTAATCAGGAGAGGGCTGCCAGAAGCCTTTTGCCCAATGGACCAATGGCCTCTTTTACCCATCACCCAAGTCAGCAGCCTCAGCCTGGCTAAGCCCACCCCAGTCTGGGCCAACACACGTCCTCTGGGCTTGGCCTAGAACTATGGCGCATGTGTCCAGCACAACCCCACCCTTAATCGCCTGTCTTGCCCTAAGCAGACTGGACTCTCCCCTTATTTTACAGATGAGAAAACTGAGGTCCAGAGGGTTTGCCTGATTCTCTCATGGTCACAGTAAGTCAGTGTCAGGAAAAGTCTGGAATCCAGGACTCGAAACTGAGTGGCCTTTTCAACTTGACAGATGTCCTAGATCCAGAAGAGGCAGGCTGGGATGAGAGATCAGAGACTCCAGGCGGGTCAAGGGAGAGACTTTCTGGCCAGAGTGATTGCTGAGCCCTGGGCATGTAGTTAGACAGTAAAATACACTGAAGGTCTTTCCCTGGATCTTCTAAGACCCACAAGCTCTGGGACCACTGTGCTTACAGGGGTGGTAGAGGCTCTGTCTTATTCAGAGGATGGGGCCAAACTACACTCACCATCTTTCCCATTCATGTCAGGTCCAACCTCTCCCTCTTAAAACCCTCCAGTGGCTTCCCATTATTTCTAGAACCAAATCCGACCTCCTCACCAGGGCCCCAATATTCTACATAAAGTGGCTCCTGACTGCTTCTCTGAAATCCTCTCCTAACACCCTGCCCCCTTTTCACTCTGTTCCAACCCCTTGGCTTCCCCTTTGTTCCTCAAATCACCAAAACTGTTCTCATCTCACAGCTTCACAGCCTTTATCCTGATGTTCCATTTTTCTGGAACATTCTTTCCTCAACTCTCCTCCTGGCCAGTTCCTTTTAACCATTCGGGTCTCTGCTCCAATGCCGCCTTTTGGAGTGGCCTTCTCTGACCAAGTTAGCTAAACAGATGAAGCACTGCAGGCTAGATGGTCTCTGTTGCAACTACTTAAACCTGCCGTTACAGAATGAAGGCAGCCATAAACAGTCTGAAGGTGACTGGACATGGCTGAGTTCCAATAAAACTTTATTGACAAAAGTCAGCAGCAGGTCAGATTGGGCCAGTGACCATAGTTTGCTGACCCTTGCTCGAACTTATCATCTTGTTTGGTTTTTGTCATTGTGCTTACCACTCTCTGAAATTATTCCTTTGTGTAATGATTTGTCTTCCTCTGCTCTTGCCGCCCAAACTGTCAGCTCTAATCTGCCGTCAGTCTTGTCCAACACTGCTGTGGAAGCCAGCCTCCAAGATGGCCCCCAAGGAGCCCCACCTCCTGGTACACACACTGTTGTGTGTTCTCTCCCAGACTCAACAGGACTGTCCTGTGTGATCCCTAGGATATTGTGGAAGTTTAAAAGTGTGACTTTGAAGGCTAGGTTATAAAAGACGTGGTGGTTTTCATTTTGCCACCTTGGATTACTTGCTCTGAGGAATGTTTTAAGGAACCTCAAGCAGCCTTATGGTGGGGTCCACATGGAGAGGAGCTGAGGCCTCCTGTCAGCTGCCGGCCATGTGAGTGCACCATCTCAGAAGTGGATCTTCCAGCCACGGTCAAGCCCTGGCTGCCAATTTGATTGCAACCTCATGAAAGACCCTAAGCCAGACCATCCAGCTAAGCCACTCCTGAAGTCCTATCATAAAAAAATTGTGATGTCAAAAATGCTGTTTCAAACTAGGATAATTTATTATACAGCCATAGATTAAAAAAGAAAAAATAAAATAGTTACCCAGCACAATGATTGGCTCAGTAAGTACTGGTTAATAAAAAAACTAGATGCTTAATAAATATTATAGAATAACACATTTAAATAATATTTAAAAGATATACATGTAATACTATATAAACGTATGTAAAAATACAAACTCAATAATACAGAAAGGCACAAATAAGACTTTCCAAATTCACTAACAGTCCTTGGACAAGGTGCCTATGCAAGAATTCTTTCAATATTGAGATGCTAAGCTTCTTGAGTTCTCAGTTTCTATGTTTCTAATATTCTGTGAATATATGACTCTGAGATTTTAGGTTTCTGTCTCACCAAGTCCATAATTCTAAGACTTTGTGATTCTCTGATTCTGACATAGTATGAATCATCTATCAATACATCTCATCCTCTCATCCTCAGTCGCCTCCTGAGATGGTTAGATGGCATCATTGACCCAGTGGACATGACTTTGAGCCAACTCCAGAAGATAGTAAAGGACAAGGAAGCCTGGCATGCTGCAGTCCCTGGGGTCACAAAGAGCTGGATATGACTAAGAACAGAACAACAACATCAACACATATTTTTATTCAGAAACTCTTCTTTTCCAGGCACAATATCAGGAGCTAGGGGCATGGTAGAGAAAAGACAATGCCTGTTCCTGCCCTCCAGTGCCTCTTGAGCGCCTGGGGACACAGGCAAGCACATAGGCATATATGATCCACAGTGAATTGTCATACAGGTAGATAAGAACTGTGGGTGGGGGTGGGGCAGGAGGCCCCAACCCGGCCTCCTTGGGAGGGGTGTGAGCAGAAATAGCTTCCCAGAGGAGTCAGGAAAAGAGAAAGAGTATTCAACCAGAGAAAGGGAATGCTAGAGTACACTGTGTTCCAAGTGAGTGAAACAGCAAGTGCAAAGGTCCAGGGGTTAGGGAGAGAGAGTATGTGGCATATCTGGTAAATTAAACCGAGGTTTGTCCGAGTTGGTGCAGAGCCGGGGGTGGGGTGCTGGAGAGAGGCAGAGTGGCAAGAGACTTATGGCCAGATGACAGATGACTTAGTAAACCATGTAAAGGAATTTGAACTTTATCCTGAGGGCAAAGGGGAGCCCATGAAGGGTTTTAAGAGAAAGAGTGACACAGTCTGCTTAGAGTTTAGAAAAATGCCTCTGGCTGCTGCTTGTAGTTTTGGAAAGAAGAGAGACCAGGGAGGAGGCTGGAACAAGATGCCAGGTGAGAGAAGAGGCCTGAATGCATGGGAAATGGGCCCAAGAGAGACGCTTAATCCGTGGTGTGGTGATCAGTGCGGGTGTGGACTGTACTGGTCACCTGTGAACCCAGCCCTCCTGGACTTCTAAGGTTCTCTGACTCTGTGCTGAAAACTCCATACCTCTCCAACACAAAATACCTGTTGATATCACTATATAATCCCTGACCTCACAATGCCCTGCATCTCTCCTTTCCGAGCCTCAGTTTTCCTTGTTTGCAAAGTGGGGGTCATCAAGACCTTCCTTGCAAAGTAGCCAGGAACTGAGGGCTGGTGTGTGGTCAGCATCTAAAACAAGGCAGGTGGTCCATCTGTGGGAGGCAACTTTGCCCCAAGTGCTGGAAATACAGGTATTGTCAGGAAAGAACCAAGTCTTATGGTGACAAGACAGATCAGAAAGGAAGAACAGAGGTAAGGAATAGCCCTGTTCTCATCTGCTCCTGGTAACCTGGGTTGCTCTGGTTTCTGGGCTTCTGGCTGGGTAAATGGTGCCCAGACTTGTTTGCTTGCTTCTAGGTACCATCAGGTATACCAGTTGGCCGTCAGGCTCCCTATAACTGTAGCTTGATAGCCTTCCCAGTTCCTCTCTTTGATCTTAAACTCCCCTGAGAGCTTCACACACCAGCTGGGGGTAGCCCGGCAGGGTCTAGTCTTTCCTGGGCAGCTCAGAGCCAGGCTAAGTGCCACCCAGTTGGCTGGAGCCAACCAGCCCCCAAGTCAGCCCATGCTCAAGGTTACAGTACTGTAGGCACTCTCTTCTTAGACAACGATTCTGTTGGCTCAGTCAAGAACATGTCTTTGGAGACAGAAACCTCATTCATCTCCCCAAAATGACAATATGTGGGCCTGAGAGAGATCCAAGGCTCTTTTGTTACAATTTGCTTCTTGCCGGTGGTTCAGCTTTGAAAAAGTGAAAGTGTTAGTTGCTCAGTCATGTCCGGCTGTTTGCAATCCCATGGACCCATGGATACCAGGCTCCTCTGTCCAAGGGTTTCTCTAGGCAAGAACACTGAAGTGGCTTGCCATTCCCTTCTGCAGGGGGGATCTTCCCAACCTAGGGATTGAACCTGGATCTCCTACATTGCAGGCAGATTCTTTACTGTCTGAGCTACCAGGTTCACTTTTAATTTCATTTAATTCACAAACTATCAGTTGAACCACACAACTGTGGGCAAACCCCACAGAGCTGACAGGACCCTTGGAGATACTCCTTTCTTGGAAGAGTATATGGGAAGCTGAGAGTGATGTGCCTAAAACTACATGGAGTTTTGTGAAGGGTTGGGCTTGGAGTTCAAGGCCAGAGCTCTCCACCTGTTTCTCTGCACACAGCAGGGGCTCCACAAACATCAGTGAAATTGAGTCAAATTAGGAGTTTGTGACACGCATCATATACATTACTAGCTAGCATTTGCACTGACTATTTCTAGAAGTAAGAGGAGCCTGGAGAGAAAGGTGGCCTCTGGGAGGTGAGTTGAGCAGCTGGGGTCAGGGGTGGGAGGAAGCTCTACTTTTAATTTCCTGGCTTTGTACCTTTCGAATGTTTTAGAACACAGTCAATCAATCAAGCAAACAATCATGATTAAATAAACAATGAAGTGGGAGCCAGGCTCTTTTGCAACTCCATGCCTTTGTACATGCTGTTCCGTCTGGGTGAAATACCCTTTGCCGGTTTGCTCTACCTGGAAAACTCCTACGCAATTTACTACAAGACTGGACTCAAACGTCCAGGGTCTGAGGCCTGGGGCTGCCTCCCTGTGATGGTTCCTGTCTGTCGGTCCAGCACCTCCACACACCCTCATCGGCTCTGTTTTATGCACCAGGAGACGCCCATGCCTCCTGACTTCTCACCGGATTCCTCCAAAGAGAGCCATCAAGGGGAGAATAAAAGGCAGGATGAGGAAGAAGCATGGATAGTTATGCCACGTTTCCCCTCATGTGACAGAGCCTGCATTTCTCCATGGCCTCACTTCCACAGTTCCAGCTACTTCCGGGAGCAGTAACACTGTTCCCTCTCTCACTCCTGCAGGTCTGAGGGGTAAGATCAGTGCCCCACATTCTAGACCCTGGGTGCCTCAGTGCTCCCTGAAGTTTCCCTTAGCCTGCCCACACCTCTGTAAACACGCCATTCATTAAATCTGCCTGTTTAGCCAGGGGTTCTCGACCTGGAGGTCTTGCTTCTCAGGAGACGTTTGGCAAGATCTGAAGACCTCTTCAGTTGTCATGACTGGTTGTGAGGATGCTGCTGGATCAAGTGGGTGCAGGCCAGGGATGCTGCTAAACATCCCCCGATGAACAAGGTAGCTCCTCTCCCCAGGAGAGAATTATTCTGCCCCAAATGTTAATGGTGGGACTTCCCTGGTGGTTCAGTGGTGAAGAGTCCGCCTGCTAATGGGTTCCATCACTGGTCTGGGAAGATGGGTTCCATCACTGGTCTGGGAAGACCCCACACATCATGAGGCAACTAAGCGCGTGCTCCCCAACTACTGAAGCCCATGCACCCTAGAGACCACGTGCTCCGTAACAAGAGAAGCCACCGCAATGAGGAGCCTGAGCACTGCAGTGAACAGTAGCCCCCACTCGCCCCTAGAGAAAGCTTGTGCTCAGCAGTGAAGGCCCAGTGCAGTCACAAATAAACAAGTATAAATAAATAAAATGGCTATGTTAATTTTTTTTTTTAAAGTAAGAGCCCCAGTCTGTTATGTTACAGTGAAGGGTCACTGTCAGGCAGACCGAGGGTGACCAGTTGATCCTTTTTCGCCCAGGACGTTTCCACTTTTGAATTCCATGGACTGTATAGTCTATGAGGTCGCAAAGAGTTGGATACGACTGAGCAACTTTCACTTTCCAGTTCCTGAAAGTCCTCTCAGTCTTGGGCAAACTGAGACGGTCTGTCACCTTAGCAGGTCAGATGATTGGCCTGCCCACAAAATTTAAAAATAATAAAAGGCTAGCATATGTTGAATATTTATTATGTGCCAGATGGTTGTCTAACGTTGTTTTAAGTATTAGCTCATTTAATCTTCATAAGAACTCAGTGAGGTAAATATTAGTACTGTGTACTAAAACTTTGTACTGTGGCACAGAGAGGGACCACAATTACCTGAGGTCACACAGCTCCTGAGTAATAGAGCCAGGATTTGATTCCAAATCATCAGAATCATATTAAATTGTGGCCTTTACTATACGTTTGGATACAGTTGACCCCGAACAAAGTTGGGGTTACAGGCACCCATCCCTGGTGCGGTCAAAAATCTGTGTATAGCTTCTATTAGCCCTCCTTACAAGCAGTTCCTCCATAGTAGTGGTTTCTCCAGTATCCACAGTTCTGCACCCATGGATTCAACCAACCATGGATTGTGCAGTATTGTAATACTTACTATTGAAAAATATCTGCATAAAGGTGGAGCCACACAGTTCAAATCCATGTTGTTCAAGGGTCAACTGTATATTTTAAAAGATCTTTTAATTAACAATAATAATGACAATGGGCTTCCCAGGTGGCACTAGTGGTAAAGAATCTCCCTGCCAATGCAGGAGACGTAAGAGATGCGGATTTGATCTCTGGGTCGGGAAGATCCCCTGGAGGAGGGCATGGCAACCCACTCCAATATTTTTGCCTGGTTAATCCCATGGAAAGAGGCAGCCTGGTGGGCTAACGGTCCATTGGGTCTCAAAGAGTCAGCACAACTGAAGCAACACCACACACGCATGAAATAATGATAATAACAATAACTGTGAAATCTATTTTAAAACATTTTTTGAATTAGTAATAATGATAATATATGTGTGTGTGTGTATGTATATATATATATTTGGCTGCACCACCAAGAGACCTACGGGATCTTAATTCCCTGACCAGGGATCGAACCTGTGCCCCCTACAGTAGAAGCGTAGTCTTAGCAGCTGATTGCCTGGGAAGTCCTAAATTTTTAAGCATTCAAATATACCTTCCAAACTTTAACCCAGTGGAGACAGTTTATATTCTAACTTAAATGGCCAGATTTGCCTGCTGTGTAGACCACAGAATAAAGCATGTTGGAGCCACCTCTGCTAAATTAAAGCTGGAGTGGAAGACTCAAATGTTTACAGGGCCAAATAACAAGGTCCTACTAAATAGCACAGGGACCTATATTCAATATCCTGTGATAAACCACAGTGGAAAAGAATATGAAAAAGAATGTATATACATATATGTATAACCGAATCTCTTTGCTGTATAGTAGAAATCAGCATAACATTGTAAGTCAACTATACTTCAATAAAATAATTTTTTAAAAATAAAGGTCATACATAACTAACAAAAATAAAATGCTTACAGGGCCAGGTGTGCAATGTTGGTGGGTAAGGCGGGCCTGTGCAATAGAGGGTGGTGGGGACTGTGGCAAAATGGGAACAAAAAGCATTGTTGAGAAGGGGCAGCCGGGACTCAGCTCCAGGCACTTGAGATTGGGGGCCCAGCAATACCAGATCTTCTAAGAGAGGCCAGACATTAATTTTTAACAGCAACCAAGACAGTGAAAAAAAACAAAAACACCAGGTGCATAAAGCAAAACTTATCCGTGGGTCAAATGCAGTCCCTGCCCACTTCCCCCCAGTGACCTACTGTTTTGGGTTTTTTTTTTAATCACTATTTGGTGCTTGCTTCAGCAGCGCATATAGTAGAACTGGAAAAACACAGAGAATATTAGCACGACTCCTGCGCAAGGATGACGTGCAAATTCATGAAACCTCCATATTTGGGGGAGGGGACATACATAACATATAGCTGACTCACCTTGTTGTACAGCAGAAACTAACATAAAAATGTAAAGCAATTAAACGCCAATAAAAAAAAGAAAAAATAATAATACACGCAAAAAACATTTAAACATTTTACAAATCGCTTTTTGAAATTGTGGTATATTCATACAATATATGAATTTATAATAAAAATACATGCAAAGAACACTTAAACATTTTAAAAATCGCTTTTGAAATTGTGGTATATTCATACAATGGAATGCTATACAGCAATGAGAATGAACAGATTCTAGCTGTAAAAAATACTGATGCATCTCTTAAACACAAGCCAGATACAAACGAATATGTCCTGTATTCCATGTGTATGAAAGTTCAACAGGCCAAAATAACCTAGGGTGTTGAGGGTCAAGATCATGGTTACTCTGTAAAGAGGTGAGCTGTGAATGACTGGAAGAGTCACAGGAAGGCTTGGGGGGCTGGCCAGGGTCCCTGTCTTCTGGGTGCCAGGGACACCGTGGTGTTCTTTTTGTGAGGATTACTGAGGTGTACACTTAGGCTTGGTGCATTTTTTAGAAATGTATGTTGTATACTTTATATAAAAATTTTGAAACATACATATACAGAGACTTTTACCATTTGGAAATATTTCTCTGGATGAAGCAGGATTGCACTTCAATACAAAGGAAACCAAATGCTGGAATAATTGACTTCAGAGGCTGGGTTTTCCTGCAGAAAGCCTCTGAGAGCTCTTTGTTGGGTATGTGAAAAGAACACGTTGTCGGGAATGCCCTGATTCGAAATTATGGCATTCAATAAAACAGCTCCATGTTTCTCAAGGATCAGTTGTATATCAATAACTGTGCTGAGAATCCTGTCGATTTTCTTCATTTCTTTTACTCAGATTCTTGGGTGTTTGAAATTGTGAAACAACTTTCTATATCATTTATATATCAGGCTTCCATAGGAAAAGGGGTTTTGTGGCTAAGAAAATATGAGAACCTGAAGGCTGAGCTTCTAAATCCTGCCTATCAGAAGCAGTGTCCAGAAAGCAGGACGTGTCTGGAGGTGATTCAAGGACAGGGATGCTGGGAGGGGAGTGTCCGTGTAAGGAGGGAGTCGGGGGAGGGGAGGCTGCGGCCATTTCTCAGAGGGAGTGTCTCCCCTTACAAAGGGCCTTTCTATCCTTAGTCATCTCTTCAGCAAACACGTCCCAAGTGCCCACCGTGCCAGGTTACAAGTGTGCAAGTTAATCTCAGAATCACAAAGATGGGACTCCTAACACTGCCAAGACGCCATCAGAGCCTGTGACTGGGACCCCCGCTGGGTTCCGCCCACCTCCTAAACAACCCAGATGGACCCCTCCTTATCACCTCCGCGGTGGGGTTACCATTCCCAACTCCGTGGGTGACCCCTCACTCATCTCCTCTCAGCCCCCTAAATCAGCTCTCTTCAGAGTGTTTCTATGAATCACAGATCAGAAGGTGTTCACTCCTGGAGTCCCCTGGTGATCTAGACTTTAAGGAATCATCTGCCAATCCAGGGGACACGGGTTCGATCCTTGGTTCGGGAAGATTCCACCTGTCGCGGGATGACTAAACCTGAGCGCCACAACTACTGCAGCTCATGCACCCCAGAGCCCATGCTCTGCCACAAGAGAAGCTGCAGCGCTGAGAAGCCCGCAAACTGCAACTAGAGAGTAGCCCCCACTTGTTGCAGCTAAAAGCCCTCATGTAGCAGCTGAAGACCCAGCACAGCCATAAATAAATAAAGAAATTTTTCTTTCTTTAAAAAAAAGAAGAGGACGCTCACTTCTATCTTAGTCAACTTGCAAGTTATACCCAGGCCACAGAGAGTAACATCCGAATTCCTTCCACGGCTCCCAGGCCCCACACCCATCTCCTCTTCTCCCCTCTCTCCAGTAACACAGGTCCAGTTCAGGGCCATTGCTCTCACTATTCTCTCGACTTGGAGATCTCTTCTCCTACCTCTTCAAATGTCTGCTGATTCTTTTTTTTTTTTTTAAGTTTTTTGATGTGGACCATCTTTTAAGGCTTTACTGAATTTGTTACAGCATCGCTTCTCCTCTATGTTTTGGATTTTGGGCTGCAAAGCCTGTGGGGTCTTAGTTCCCTGACCAGGGATAGAACCTGTGTCCTCTGCATTGCAAGGTGGATTCTTAACCACTGGGCCACCAGCGAAGTCTCTAACTGCTAGTTCTTGCGATTCAGATGTCACCACAAACGTCAGCCAACCCCAAGCA